GTTGCAACACTTATGAACCATAATGATTACCAGCATGGCAAGATATGCATAAACCTGTAAGAAATGGCACACACATGTTAGTGGCAACCAATAGCTGTCAAATTGGAGTTAACAGGAGAAAAACCGTACCTGGAATCCTGGTCAACTTCCCCGAGCCAGTGAGACCATAGACCTTAGAAAAGGATTTACTACCACCACTTTGCTAGACCTGTATAATTCTTATTAAATTCGAAATCTTATCCTTATACCCAAGACAAAGGTAGCTACAAATGTTCACAAAGAAGCTTGTCATTACAGCAAATGGAAGGTAGCGCAAAAAACCACTGCTGAACACAATGCAGAGATCAATGGATCTGGAGTGTCCAGCCTTGGTAGAAGACACATCTGTATCACAGCTTCAGTACCAAGAGCTTAGGGAACATTGTGGAAGAGGAGACTGAGAAAGATTTTGAGAGGCAACATATCAGGAAGTCTGCAGTGAAGCAGTCTGTCCTAAAAAAATGGCTGAATGAACAAGACTGGAATGATCATGGTATCAATAAACACATTGACATGGAAGGTGGGGAATTCCAAATGGTTCCATCCCTAGACAAAGAACTATAGACAACTGCTGGCTGCTGGAAGAAGAGTTAGCCTCTCTCCAGCATGAGCCCCTTTACTGGTTGTCCAACACAGAGCAGTCAGCCTCAAAACCATGTACACACAAACAAAATGGGATCAGCAAGTTTTATATGTAAACACACTCAAATGCTAGTTATAATCAAAGTGAAAAGAACAGGTATTGGGGAAAAGGAGTCAAATGCAGAGACCAAGAGAAAAGTAAATTGAATGAAAGCAATTTAATAAAGCTAAAGATAGGGGTTGATTTATGCTCCAGGCAAATGAATATGAAGAACTCTATGAGTCCAATTTAGGATTATCCAACCTCTGTTTTAGACAACGTAACATAATACTGAATGGCCATCCTTGAAAACATACATACAGAAACAATGACTTACATACATATCAAATATAATGAAAAAAAGAAATTATCAACTTGAGAGTGGGGTAACTTGGGAGGGATTGGAAGGATGGAAATGTATTGCATAAAAATACTTAAAATTTATTATAAGAAACTCAAAATACAGAAACTGAGGGTATTTTAAAAATTAAAATAAAAATGGGCAACAGATCTGAACTCTCAAGAAAAGAGAGAAAAGAAATAAAAATTGCTAATAAATATCTTTAAAAGTATTCAACATCCTTAGCAATTAGGAAAATGCAAATTAAGACTACTCTGAGATGTACTCCTTCTCCAGTCAGAATGGCTAAGATTAAGAAAATAACTGTAAAACAAATGCTGGCAAGGTTTTGCAAAAAGAGGAACCCTTATCACCATTAGTAGGATTGCAAATTGGTGCAGCCACTATGGAAATTAGTGTAAAGAATCCTCAAAAGGCTAAAAGTGCATCTACTGTCTGTATGACCCTGCTGTCTCACTCCCTGGTGTATGTGCAAAGGACTCGATTCTACTCCACAGATCCTTGCTCAGCCATAGTGGTAATCACTCTATCCACAACAGTTAAAAGAAAACAACCTGTATGTCCTTCTACAGATGGATGGATAATGAAAGTATGCTACACATATGCTATGGAATACTATTTAGCTGTAAAGGAAAATGAAATTAAAATTTCAGGTAAATGGATGGAACTGGAAAATATTATAGTGAGTGAGGTAACTCAGACTCAAAAGGACAAGCACCACATGTTTTCTCTTACTTGTGGGCTTGTGTATCTTAGCGCTGAATCTTTAGATCTGGGTAATATAATCTCAAGTAAGTTCAGAAGCCAGGGAATTGGGAAGGAATCCCACCCTAGCGAAGTGGGGGAGAAGGAGCCCTATAGAGGATGGCAGCAGGAGACAAGTGCTATGAAAGGGGCAGTGGGAAAGACGGGCGAGAGATTCAGGAATTTTAAGGTTTCTCTAGTGGGGTCAGGCAGCCTTTATTCGCTGTTTATTCTATATGTATTAGTACTCACTGAATGTTACAATTAAGTGGATAATTATGACAGTGTTGCATGTTTCCATGTACATAGTTCTCTCTTGCAGGATTTTAAAAAATATTTTTTAAATTATTTGAGATTATAACTACACAATTTCCTCTTTTGCTTTCCTCTCTTCAAACCCTCCTATATATTGTTCCTGGTTCTCTTTAAAAGTTTTGTTCTCTTTTTTTCTTTGATTGTTGTTACGTATATGTTTGTATGTATTATGTATGTATGTGTATACACAGATGCATGTTCACACACACATACACACATTCTTAAATACACGAATACAACTTGTCCAGTCTGCTTGTGTGTGTGTTTTCAGCACTATGCTAGGTTGTCCAAAAGAGCCTGAATCAGCCTGGGTTGGAGTCATAGATTTCTTCATATTCATCTGCCTTGAGCTTAAACCAACTCTGATCTCTAGTTTTATGAACTTTTTTCATTCAATTTACTTTTCTCTTGACATCTTCATTTGACTCCTTTCCCCCAACACCTGTCCCTTTCATCTCAAGCTTATAGCTAGCAATTTGAGTAAGTTATTGTGATGTTTAGCTTTAGATTTAACATTAAACTTTTGTTATTGGTGAGTCTCATCAATAGGTTTGAAATATAATTTCAAATGTTACTTGAAGGAAATCCCAATGATGGCTTCTTTTGCTTAATGAGAAAAACAACCAGTCACTTGGTTTTAAGTGAAGTAAAAATTTCAGAATAACACCTCTATAAATTCTGGACTAGTTAGCTGAGGAAAACACATGTGTTAAATTTTCTCTATTTAAATCTTGGCTGACAAGAATGTGCCGGTCTTTAGGAAGGATCAAATTGACTCCATCTTCTGCCATTAATTAGCTTTCACTTTATGTAATTATTGAAACCAACCACTCTTTGTGGAATTATGTGCTGAATGTAAAGCATAACTGCATCAGCACTCCAAACTTACTCCTGGGAAAGAGAAGCACGAATAACATTTTTGAGCATATAGTAAGCTGATATTTTTACACCATCTTAACTTTCTAGCAATCCATAGCTCCACTTTTTATAATATTATTGTAATTACTACTCCACATTTCACATAAAGACATGCCAGACAACTTCCTTAAACGCTAGAAGTAAGAACTAGGGTAAGACTTTTCTGGTTCATTTTTCATAAACCACTAACCTCCCGTTTACTCTATAAGCAGCAAGCTCCTTTATCATGCTTTCGAACAGCTAATCATGCAACTATTAACAGCAGAGGTTACATCAAAAAGTCAGGCGACTTCCATTAAAAACAACTGACGGTGTGACAGTACTCTTAAAAGTGATTGCTGTAATGTTCAGGAAGTAAGTCAGTATTTGTAAAGATATTGAAAATAACTGTAAAAAACAATACAAAGTTTTATATCCTAGACATCTTATTTTATGGTCCTGGGGAGCAAATCTAGAGCTATGCACATGTTGACATTCTGTCACTGAGCCCCAACCTAGCCCTACTACAGCATTTTATAAACTGACAAACTACAATGACTTTATAAACTGAACAGAGACACATCTCTCAGTGCAGAAAGCTAGCATATCTCATGAATAAGTAGCATTTGCTGAAACATGAATTTGGGCTAGATGATTTAGGCAAAATGTAGGATTCTGCAGTGGTTACTGAGGATAGCTCACTTACATAAAAGATTCCTTTAGCCAACGCTGATTTTTTAAAATAATGGGTCAGCCGGGTCTTGGCCAGACTTTTCTGTCCTTGAGTTAATTGATATGATGTAATTGATTTCCTCGCCAGAAGCCAAGATTATTTCCAAGTCAGAACAAAGACTCATGGTCTTTTCCAAAGCAATTTAAATTGTTTTAAGCTTTCTCAGTGCAGTATGGATTGGGAGCTTTGGATTTCCCGTATTAAGTTTGTAATTATCTCCACTTGTATATCTAAAACATGTCTTTCCTGAGTCATAGGTGTTTCCTTTCTAAAACACAAAAAACCCAACCCCCCAATAAACAAATATCCAAAACAAACTAAAAACAACAACAACAAAAGAAACCCACAAAAGTGAGTTCACTCTCAAATGAATGCCTGTTTGATCTTTACAATTATTGAAGGAAGAATTACTGAGAAAGGGAAGAGAAAGGGAAGATAGTAGTTAGGGGTGGAGAAAAAGAAGTAAAAGAGGCATGCATATCAGAGATGAAAGTGGAGTATCAGGTATGCTTCAAATCTGGTTTACCCGTGGATCCAGGATTTTTTCCCCAACAAAATAAGCACATAAACACTTTACTAAAATGTTAACTTTCCATGAAGTAAAAATATTTTACTAATTTTAGCAGCTACCATCAGAATGATGTGGCTTAACATTCACAGAAAGTATTGTGAGTGTGGACAGACAATATGAAAGCCAGTTTTTATAAACAATACATTTGATTAACCAAAGTTCAACTTCCTAACCAGACTTGTGTTTGTGTGTTTGTGTGTGTGTGTGTGTGTGTGTGTGTGTGTGTGTGTGTGTGTGTGTGTGTGTACAGTGTGGGTGCATACCCAGGTATGATTGCACAGTTCAGAAGGTGATTGTTGCATGTCTGTTTTTGAGTCAGGGTCTCTCAACATACATGAATCAGCTTGCTAGTTACACAAGGCAGGCAGTCCAGAAAGCTCCCCGGATCTAGCTGGCTATGTCCTCCTATCTAGGGTTATAAGCACATGTCTAGCTTTTATCAACTCAGATCTTCTAGCTTTTACAGCAAGTGCTTCTAAACCTAAAGAGCCACCCCCCTCCAAGGCCCAGCCTTGCTATTAGTCAACTTAGCATTACAAAAAACTTCTGGATGATTCTGATCATCCTCATAGTCAGATTGAACCATAACCAAGGAAGCTACCTCAGTGTATTTTTAACAGCATGAACAGAACCTGCACCTTGGAGGGTACTCTGTAATCAAAAAAGCATGAAGTGCTTGCAGCATCTGAACCAGAACTCACTTGAGTCTTATTTTCAGGTGTTCAAGAGACCAATGTAATATGAAGATTATAAGAAATGGAAAAAGTGAAATGTGCCTCAGAGTTTTGGATGGACTTTTGGCATGTGATGGATGAATGGAGACAGGAAGCCAAGGAGCTTTTAAGTGAAAACTGGAACCTCAGCCAGGATCTTGGAAAGCCAATAAGTGAAAACATCAGCATGTTTTAAAAAGATTAAAACAAATCACAGTGTAAAGATAACTCTGGGGATAAGATTTCACTGATAGCCAGTGAGAACATGGGTTAGACATGTTCTGAATGACCAAATGAAGAAAAAGAAGGGGAATGTTTGGAAATGCATTATCATGCATTTGCTACAACACTGTAATTTTGTAATTGATAGAAACCACACTGTTTATCTCCTAAGGATTATGATTTTGTTCTCTTGTCTATTAAATTGAAGTAAAATCTTTAATATGCAAATAAGACCTGTGTGATCTCTCTGGCTGTGACCTGCTTTCTTGATACTCCACTTAGCAATGACTGCATCATTTCTCCATTGTCTTCCTCAGTGCTCACTGTAGAACCTGTCTTTGCCCAGCTCTCTGCACACTCTTGTGAACAGCAGTACTTCTATTTTCTGTGTTTGACTATTTATTTCTGTATTATTACTACATACCACTTGAGATCTCTTGCATGGACCTTCCCTTGATTCTTCTAAAACAAATCATCTCTTCTCTTCTATTTGATTGCAAGATGTTGGTTTCTGATTATAGCAGTTTTGAGACGATCCTGGCATAGTTAGCCCTGACATACTTGTGCCGCTGTCAAGTTTTCAATTGCCTATATTTTGTTTAAAGCATTAATTGTCTTGTTTATCTCTCCAGCCTCAGATTCTTAGCAAGCATGTCTCACTAATTTTTACTTCATTTGATGTGGAAGATTTTTTTGGTTTAGGGGATGACAATCTAAATTAAAAGAACAAGAAGCGATGGTTACTGTTATGACTTTATTGGTCATGGTATAAGCTCAGCATCAGGCAAAGAATAAGCAGACATGATTATACCAAAACCTTGTAAGGTTTCCAAAACCTTACAAGACAAAACAGGGTATAGATATATGCATAATTTTACAGGTATCTTGGCTCTTTATTTGACAACATTTTTTTTCAATAAAAACCCTGTAATTTAAAGCATCAGAAGAGTTGGACATAACAGATTGACAAGAATGTAAGTCTTGTGTCCATGTCTACCTTGACCGAATTTGGATAAGCTATTTATCTTTTCAATATACAAAGCCCAGCTTTGTATCTCTGTGATTTTATTATATCCCTCATTAATATACCCAGTAATTTAGATTTCAATCCATAGTTTTGGTTTATGTATCATAAGTACATTCATGTCTGACAGACAGTCTGGGTTAGAAGGGTTTGGTGAATAAAATCCATGGTGTGACCATCTTGGAGGCTGACAGAAAGGCTATGCACAATAAGCATTGAATAAACAAGGGTTATTCCTCATCTTACCCAAGATGGCTGAAGGAAAATGCTTTGGAGCTAGCACCATGAAAAACATAATCATCCTATGTGTTAATACAGACATCTGTAGCAAAATACCACAGAGTAGTTACATAAACAATAGAGATCTTCATCTCACAATCTGACTTTGGTCTGTTTTCTTTCTTTCTTTTTAGTTAGAAACAATCTTATTTTACATATCAATCCCAGTTCCCTCTCCCTCCCATCTTCCCATCCCCCCACCAGCCCCCTCCCCCCCCATCCACTCCCCAGGGAGGGTGAGGCCTTCCATGGGGGATTATCAAAGTTTTTACATATCAATCCCAGTTCCCTCTCCCTCCCATCTTCCCATCCCCCCACCAGCCCCCTCCCCCCCCATCCACTCCCCAGGGAGGGTGAGGCCTTCCATGGGGGATTATCAAAGTTTGTCACATCATTTGAGGCAGGGCCTAGGCCCTCCCCTGTGTATCTAGGCTGGGGGAGTATCCCTCCATGGGGAATGGGCTCTTTGGGCTGTTTTCAAATGGCACGAAGAAAAGAAGGGGTGTGTGAGTATCCTTAAAACCTTATCTGAACCTACAGACTCCTTAGTGGTCTATCTGCAAATATCACTACCTTGAGGGCTAGGACTTCAATGTATGCATTTTGAGGAGAAATAAACATTCTATCCATCACTTACCATGATTACATCCATTGGATAATTAAAATAGTTTCAAGGCCACGAGGCTTTAATTGATCTAAATAAAATTACATCACTTAAGATGTTTTCTGGGATAGTAGGAATCCAGAACTGAACTGTTGCTGTGTCCTATCCAAGGACTGCAATAGAGATGGATGAGGTATTGTGATGTTATAGCTAGAATCTGCTGGTAGTGAGATTCTCTACTCCAGGACACAGACAGAAAATCAACAGGTGAAGATTAGAGAGGCAGCATATAGTCTTGAGACTTTCTATCTACTTTCCCCATGAGAACTAGAAATAGAAAGAATCTTAAGTCCTCAAATATCCAGAATCAGCATGGAAGAAGGAGGTGAGCATAGCTGCAGAAAGAGCAAGAATAAGTTCTCTTTAAGGGTGTGGTCCCTAGAGTCTAATATGATCCCAAGAATGGCAGCACCCAAGAGTATATAGGCAGCTCTAATGGGATTCAGTAGATTTAAAAAAAGGATAAGAATACAAGTTAGATAGGTATGGAATAGGAGAAGGTGATTCTTGGAGGAAATGGTAAATGAGGGTAAGTTTACAAAATACAATGTATGAAATTCTGAAAGACTTAATACTTTTAAAATGGTGATTGGCAAAGTAAGAAGAAAAAAACCAAGCTTATTTTAAACTAAGTTTTAAATAAATGTAATGGATTTTTCCTTGACTTAATTTATCTTTTGGTAGCATTCAGAGATAATTATAAATAGCATAGAGATGATTTTGGAAAGATTTTATTTTTTAATTTTTATTTATGTGGATGTGGGTGCATGTGTGTACACGTGTGTGCAGGTGCATCTTGATGCCAGAGGAGGGCATCAGATGGCCCTGGAACAGCAGGTACTGTCTGATGTATGGATTGGGTTCTCTGGAAGAAGCTCTCTTAGCTACTGATCTGTCTCTCTCAAGTCCCCATAGAGATTTCTCTAAGGATCATTCCAGCTTTAATTTCCTTTACCACTGAATGGAATTTTGAGTTTTGTTCAACCATAACTTTTTAGAGAAAGAGTGAAAAGAGAAATGGGATTCAGCTGTGAAATTTTGTCTTTAAAAGTGGCTGATGATGAGGCATAAATTAAATGAGTTTTTGTATAATAGAGAGACCATGCATATGTTTCATTCTGATAGCTGACAGTTCCTTTACTCAGCATTACATAGTTACAGGGAAACATGAGCTTTACAAGACTATTTTTAAAAGGAGAGAAATCCCTGATTTATGTCCTTGGGATATGAACGCTTTTACTGTGGAGGACAAAAGTCTGAATGACTGAAAGATTTTATGTGTCCTTCCTGGACACCCAGAAGTTGTTCCATTCTCTATAGTCTGCATGCAAAGTGTTATTTAAAGCCTATACTTTGCTTTTAAATATTATACAGTGATTTCTGTTATACATAAGCCAAATTTAAACAGAGCTCTTTAGACTTCCAGGCCTGGAAACCTTTTTAGCAGGCTCTATTTCTGTTTCCTTTTCCTGAAACAGTTGTCTTTGCAGACAGAGGTTTGGCATCTGTCTACCTTCTTCACATATTATGTATTACTATGGAATCTTTGGAAAACTGAAACGTCTTGTGGGTGGAAAACATGGGATGGATGAGATTCCCTAGATGTATTTATTGCTGTGCTTAATATTTTTCTACATATGAAGTTCAAATTTAGAAATGGAGAGTTAAAATCAGTTATCATGTGAAGAGTTTGAAATCCTCTAGCTAGATAGCCAACTACGGGAATATCAGCTCTCTCCTGTATCCCCACACATCTGGAAGAAGATACTTGATCCACAACTTCAAGATGGCGTGAGAAACATGGAAAGCAATGGAGGGTCAAAGCATACAACAGAGTATGGATAGATAAAATACAGAATTGCAGAACGTTAGATTTGTGAAAGAATCAGAATGTTGATAGTGCTGCAAACAGAAACCCTGTCTGGAACTCCCCCCACCCCCCAAAAAACCATAAAATACTAGAGAAACCATGTGAGATCTACGGAACACCATTAAAACATGCACTGTTTATTGACTACTACTAGAAAGATAATTAAAGGAATCCTGCACACTGACAAGAGAGGAAAAAAAAATCTGTCACGTCACAGAAGAGAACAAACTGTCCAAGAACAGTGGAGTGGTAAAGGAAGATTTGGAAAGTAATAAGCATTACAAAAACAAAAACAAGTAAGAATGAAACAAAGTGGCGTAAATTAATGCTTGTCTTAAAAGTATCTTTATTTAAAATCTGTTTTCGGACAGTGTATTTTCCTTGTAACCGTGGCCTGCCCCCCCAACCCCCTGCAATTTGTGTGTATCAGTCCTGTTGTGTCTGGAAGACACTGTTTTCTTTGAGTTATCCACCACCTCTGGCTCTTTAACAATCTTCCCACCTTCTCTTTCACATGTATACCTAAGCTTTGAGAGGGGGCTTTGATGAAGACATCTCATTTAGGACTGAGTACTTTAAAGTCTCTCGATCTCTGCACATTGTTCAGGTGCAAATCTCTTTGTTAATGTACATCTACTGAAAGAAGTTTCTCTGATAAAGGTTGAGCAGTGCTCTTCTCTATAGATATAGCAATGTCATTAGGAATCATTTTATTGCTATGTTCCTTTAGCAGAATAATAGTAGTAGGTATATGATCTATGTAGTCTTAGGTTATTGGTAACTTTAACAGAGTCACGTATGGGTTCCATCTCACAGAGTAGACTTTATATTTAATTTAAAAAGTGTGTAGGGGAAGCTGTAGCCACGCCTTCTTAGGGGCTGGCTACAGGAGTACCTGAGGGCTTGTGAGGG